CAGCACAGAGACATTAGACTCCTGCAAGGTCATTATGCGGCAAAGGCTTCAGCAGTCCAGTCTGAGAGGGGTTTTCTCACTCCTTAATTGCATTGGGGATGATATTAGATAGCTTATTGAGTCAACAGTGTGCTGAAAACGATGCTAGCTCCTTTCATACCTGTGTTTTTCTGAAAGGGCCAGTCTGTGTTTTGGGGGAGAATATCTGACACTCTTTGCAGGAGTGGCTAATTAATGAAGTGTGCTGCAGGAGGATTAATAACTAGGTATGTAGGTAGTAACCTGGCATAAACTAGATTAATACATGTAGTTCAATCTGAATTCTGCACACTATCCATCTGGAAAGGCTCCTGTGGAAAGTGTTCGCAAAACTAGAGGGACATAGTTTTGTGAACAGTGTGACTGTTTGCGGGAACTACGGTTCTTGGGTAAAGAACCAAGTGGCACTGCCTCCCATTGCAAGCTTTGAGCCAGTCAGAGTAGCAGTTGAAGATGTTATGTATCAGACGTATGTGTTTTATATTGATTTACCATTTGTATGTGGTGTGTACTTCAGCATGTCTCTCCATTTAGAGTTGGACAGCCATGACTCTGGATTCCCAAATAGCAGCAGGTGATCACTTCACAGGACTTTTTCGTCATTGTCGCCAAGTTTTACAGCAGTATTGCAAAGCTTCTCAGCTTCAGCCTCTTGGTCGTCCATGAGAGCGACTTAAAGAGACACAATTATGACAAAAGGATCCCTCTGCATCTTCCTTATTTGTTCCACAACTACCAGAGTTTACTGATAAATTAAACTCTTGCCCAATCCACAGAGGCACAAATCGCATTGTTTTGCTTGTTTTCAAAAAGAAACAGATGGTTTTCCAGCTAGAAGAAACTGAATAAGGGAGTCTACAGATATATTCACAGACCCAGCCATGTTTATTTTGCTTCAGAATTGCTGCTTCTGGTTGATGTATTACACGTCACTGCATCTAGTGTGGCATTATATAAATAAACTTAATTGAATTTACTTGAATCTAATTTGTTCTAAGCATTTCTGTATTTGAAACTAATGTACCTATTGGCTTCTTGCAAGATGTCTTTTCAGGAGTTTTTGAATTCACAAATCTCCCAACAATTCATCTTCCTTGCAAGGTAATTTTGAAAGTGCAGGAGGCCCAAAGGTCTTCATTTAGTGGCCTTCAGGTGATCGCCATAGACATCAGTCTACCCTCTTTTAGCTGCTTTGTTTCTCCTTTGACTTGAATCTGAGAAATGTAACACTGAGGAGAAGCTTTTCCTCAGCTCTATCACACCATCTGGCCAATCCTGAGCTCCGTCTCACATCACTTTAACCTACCATTCCTAATGAAGCAGAATCCTTTCATTTTGACCCAGACAGTAGCCAGAACTAAATATTTATATAATAATTAATTTACATCAACATTAATTAGAATCTTTATTTTAGTAAAATTAATCATTTTATGTTGTACCACTCTAGATGTTCTGTGGATGCATTATTATTGAAAAGTTTTTCATTTTGACGGAGAAAGTTGTAGCTTTTACCTTTAAATATTTAACTCTCTATCAGATTAAATGTAACCACTGCAATAATATAATACCCAATCATTTTACATTATAGTAGCATTTTGTTGTTCATTTGTAAAAGGAAAGGGATGTGTTGGGTGGCATCAATTAAGATTCCAGTTTAACTGAGATTCTGAGAGGCTGCAGGAACAAGCCTGATCCTGCAGCCCTCAGGTGATCTACAATATCAGCTTCCTGTTGCTGAACCTTTTACAACAGCTTGAAAGGTCCCACTTTGTTAGTACTTTACTGGCTGCACAGATGCATGAGATGAGAGCCTCTGAAAATGAAGGCTGATTGGTCTGTTTGTAGCAGGATGTTTGTGTATTCACTGTGTGCAGCTTGTATAATCTTTTAGATGATAATATCTAATAGATGACTGCCTTCATGTTTACATAAAGATTGAATTTGAGGAGATTAGATAGGGGACGTATAAATGGAAGTCTCTGAAGTGATATTAAAGAAACGGTGGTGTGTAGGTGAGGGCCCTGCTCTCATGTGTTGTCCAGATGGTGCTCATAAATTCTGAGAAGAGAGGAAGCCTAACTCCTAAAGCTGCAGGCAACAGAATAATGAGGCTGTTGCTTACTGTAAGCTTTAAAAAACAGCAACGTGTTAACACTATGAGGCAAGAGAGTAGGATAGCCAGCTGCAACAGAAGAAAACAACAGATTTTTGTTTAAAAAAACAAACAAACAGATTTTTGGGGATTTTTTTTATTATATGGAAAAACAGTATTATAATGATTCTCATTGTTTTGCATGGAGGGTTGCACATCCATTGTGGGTTTCCTTTCTATGAACAGATGGACAAAATCCCCCTGTGGATTTGAAATCAGCTGTAGAGACTCTGATATATAATAACTTAGGGAAAATGAAACCGGAAAGGACAAGCCTTTGTCAGAAAGTGTTTTAAAGGGATAAAATTGTTAAACCTGGAAAGAAAAGTCCTTGGAAAATTATTGAACATTAAAGTCTGTTACTTAGATTTGATATGATAGATTATTCCAAAGTGGTGCATGACTAACAAGGGCTTAAAGTAGAAACTCATTATGTCAGAAGAAGAAAGACAAGCAAGAGAGAAGATGCATTGAAAAAATATCCTTAATAAACTTGTCATCAGCTGCAGGCCTGTATAACTTATTGCACTATTGTGCCATGTGTAAAATCTCCAGTGGGACCTTCGTTCTCTTAAAGGTTTAAAATTAAGTCCCTCCTTATTGGCTAGATTTATTTATTTTTGAACTCCACATAGAATAAAACATTCTATTAGCTTTCAGTGTTTTATCTTTGTTGTTCCTTAGCAACTCAGAGGTTCCTAAATAAAAATACTTCCTAGACTTTTCGAAGTTTGTGTAACAAATGGCTGATTTTCCTCCCACTTAACGTTTGTGCACTACTTTCTTTCAGCCTGTTGCATAAAATACCTTAAAATACTTTGATGCTTATATTTCTCAAATGAAAAAAATGGGAAAATGTCAAATGGTGTGAATAACTTTGCAAGGAGCTTTAAGCATAATTTAGTTTCACATATCCATAAATAAGAGAGTGCCCGGAGATGTAATAGCTGTAATGGAAAATCACAGTTTACTGAGCCCTCAGTGCCCAGAGCGGCTTCTAGGAAGGATCCACCGAACTCTGAAAACAGTGAAGCAAATCCACCAACTGGAAAAATGAAGCTTTATTAATTAACGTTTAAGTTAAAAAGGCAAATAAATGATGGTATAAAGTTAAAGACACATTTTACATCTTTTGGCATCTTTGATGAAGTTAAGATTGCCCACAGAGTTACAGCCATTCCAACAATCCTCAATCGATTTGGAGGTAGGCAGAGCAAGCCTGCCAAGGACACACTGTAGTAAGAAAGCTATTCATGAAGTCAGAAACAGAACTTAGATGCAGAAGGTGTTTGAAAAAGCTCTGTGACACACTCAGTTCCAAGATATTGTATTAATTGTGTTTACTTTGTGTCTTAAGATATTCCCTTGATTAATAGGGATTGCTTTTGAGTCAGTGCAATCAGCTGGTTTTCCTTAGATAGAAAACTGAACCAATCTGACTTTAAGATCTAATTAAACTGTCCCTGTAAAGTGCCTTGACATGACATGTGTTGTAAATTTATGCTTATACATAAACTGAAATTAATTAAATGGAATTAATATTAAGCAAATGGAGTCTGCAGGAAGGACAGAAGCACAGTGAAGAAACCTGCACATAAACATGTTTGCACATCGTCTCATTATCAGTCAGGTGTTTCACTTTTGACCTGGCCTATAATAACAAACCCACCAGAAAAAAACAACAACAAAAAAACATATTGGAACCAGTCATCAAAGTCAGTTTTTCCCTGCCTGTGCCATTATCCTCCCAGTTTTACTTTAGCTTTACACGCTTATTGAAAACTTTAAACTAGTAGTCCTGCAGCACATAAATAACAGGTCACACTGCTGTAAAAGAACATTCCCAGGATGCAAAAATGATCATCCACATGCTCTGCCACATATTTGCAAGTACATACTTATACAGACACATAGTATTAGAATGGCTGACCCTGTAGTTTGTGGCCTGCAGATGTTTAATTTGGATGAGGTTTTTATTTGTTTCCCAGAAGATAATCAAAATTCCACATGTGAGTAAGATCGGAGATTTTTAGGGGAACAATGTTTGTAAAAAAAAAGTTTTTCTGTGTGTTTATTTCCCAAAGTAAGAGAACAGGTGTAATGTGTCGATGTGGGGCTGTAAATGTGTGGAGACCTGGCTGGTTTTTCGCTGTGTAAAGTGTGTTTGTTTGTTTATCTGTCCAACCTAAAAATGGCAGCAAATTTTAAAGACGGCACAGCTAGGAATATTACAGCCGGCAGTGGAAAAGTCCAAAACCACCAAATGTATGTTTGTTTTCACATGGCCAGACGCGGGATTTTTCCTAATATCCTGTTGACAGTTTGCCTTAAATTACCTTTTAATTTTAGGTAGAGGAAGGGAACGGTGGAGGTTTATTTTGGTTATTCCTGAAAAAAATAAAATAAAGTGCATTGGATGTTCTCGGTTAATTTCTGTCTTTAATAAATTTGCATACACTTGACTCTTAAGCACAGTGGCTCCACTGTTTCTTTGATTGAACACCTTTAACCAAGTTGGGGATCTTTGAAATGAAGCTACTGTAAGTGCATATGTGTTAGTTTGTGCTTTGTTACTTTAGGACAGCTTTTGTTCAAAGTTAACTGCATCAGTTCCCCAAAAACCTGAGAAAAGCCTTGTTTTCACTGCAGCTGCTTTGAACTGATCAACTCTCCTGCAGCATGTGTGGTTTACAACACTGAGCCTGCTGGTTGAAGCTTAATTTTGTTACATTATAAAACCTGCTCTCCATACCTTGATCCCAGCATGCCCTAGCTCATGTCTAAGTTTAAAGCCTTGCATGTTTTACAGGGCAGCAACAGACCACAATGTGGACAACACCACTGCTATGTTAAGAGAATGGCTGAAAAGAGCACAGCGTGTTTATCACTACGTGGAGTGGAGGCCGATGGAGGA